AGGAGGAGGAGGAGGAGGAGGAGGAGGAGGAGGAGAAGGAGGAGAAGGAGGAGGAGGAGGAGGAGGAGGAGGAGGAGGAGGAGGGGTAGGAGGAGGAGGAGGAGGAGGAGGAGGAGGAGGAGGAGGAGGAGGAGGAGGAGGAGGAGGAGGAATTGGAGGAAGACGGGGAGGAACTGTCGGTGAATGATCACATCGCCCAAACCATTGCACCACCCCATAACCTCAAAAAAATCAAGTCGTTGTGGGTCCCACAACACAAAACAACATTCGCATTCTGGGCTTTGTTAGTGTAGTGCTCGTGGGGTTACGAACCCAACGTGCACGTTCAAATGCATCAAATGATTCCATGTGAGGGTCCCAAACATCTCAACAAAACAGCGCTTTCGGAAATTAGTCGGTCTGGTGCTCGTGGTGTTCCGTACTAGTGAGGCTGGCAAACAAGCAAGAAAACTCTGTTACAGGACCTTGGCTGGCTATGTGCTGGATTTCCAAACCAACGGCCACCACACCGACAGAATTGCAACATGTGTTTTTTTGCTTGCGGGGAGATACTTCACATACGTGATTTGTTTTATACATATGTATATACACACGCACACCCCAAACAGTGCTTGAAGATAGGGACTCTTACTTTGCTGTAATAAGCTGTGCCGTGTCTTCGTTCGTATCCGTTTTGGGTTGAGGAGGAGGAGGAGGAAGACGAGGAGGAGGAGGAGGAGGAAAAGGGGGAGGAAGAGGAGGAGGAGGAGGAGAAGGAGGAGGAGGAGGAGGAAAAGGAAACCCCGAAACGCCCCCGCCAGGGGGGCGCAGGGGGTTTGGCAGCCTCCGTGCGTCAGAGTGTCTACCTACTCCGACCAAATATGAATATCTCCAACCGACACGATGGTTGTTTCGGGAGCCGACTTGAGATAGGCGAGCTTGCACGAAGAGGTCGTGGGCTCGGGCCTTCCTCAGAGTGGCCAGAGTAATGCGGCCTCCCTTTTTCATCGCAGTGGTCCTTCGGCTGGGCGGCTGACAGGCGTGGTCGCAAAACGGAAGTGTGTAAGTTCTGGGCAAACACAATGGCTTTGGGCCTGGTACTATGCCTCTTCCCTCCTCCCTCTTCCCTCCACTCCTGCTTCCTTTTTCGTATTCTAATCCTCCTCGTCTGCCTCCTCTTCCTTCGTACTAATGCATACATAATTTCGACATGGTATCACGTGGTGATTGCCCTTCCCAGGTTCCAGGCTGAATCCCGGCCGCGCCGCCCTGTTCAGGGCCGGATCTCCGGGTCCGTTGGCTGCGCGCCCTCCTCCCTCCTCCGCCCCCCGTCCTCCCTCCTTGTCGCTTCCCTAAGGTGGACGACGACGAGGGAATCAACTTCTCGGGCACGCGAGGCCCGCCTCTCGCTCGCAGCTGGCCGCTTCCTGCCCTGCTCTCCTCCGTGCCCGCCCTCTGTCTGGGCGCTCTCCTCCCCCCCTTTCTTGTCGGAGGCTGGTACTACAGTCCGCCACCCGCAGAGGGGGGCTGCAGGGAGGAAGGAGGGCTTCTGAGAAGCACCCCTGCTTCTTGGAAGGCGCGGGCCTCCTCTGCAGATGTAAGGCCGGCGCCTCCTAAGAAGCAGCCTCCTTCTGAGACGCCTTCCCCCCTCCCTCCTCCCCCTCGTGCGCGCCGCCAATGCGGAGCCCCCGCCCCGCCGAATCGATGAGCGAGCTGCCTCTGCTCCGTTGCTGTCATGGCGTGGCGGCCGCACCTCGGCGGGCGTGCGCGCCTCTGCGGGCCTGCGAAGGGGCGCTTCGCTTGCGGGCCTCCTGTCCGCCCGTGGGTCCCGGCGCTCTCCGCCTTCGCTTCCGGGGCGTGCACGCGCCGCTCCCCCCCAGGCTCCTCCCTCGCTGCCTCTCGCTCCTGCCACCCCCCTCCCCCTTCCGCCCCTCCTTCGGCTCCTCGTGCCCCCCCCCCCCCCCTCCTCCCGCTCCTCCTGCCCCCGCCCTCCTCCCCCCCCTCCTCCTGCTCATCCTCCCCCTCCCCCTTTCCCTCCTCTCGCTCCTCCTGCCCCCCCGCCCTCCTCCTCCTCCTCCTCCTCCTCCTTCTCCTCCTTCTCCTCCTCCTCCTCCTCCTCCTCCTCCTCCTCCTCCTCCTATTCCTCCTCCTATTCCTCCTCCTCCTCCTCCTCCTCCTTCTCATCTTCCTCCTCCTGCATTCCTTTTCCTTGTAAATAACTTCTCCCTGTCGCACCCCGAGGTAAGTTTTTCGTGTGGGCCATGCGTTTCGCTTGAGACTTCCTCACCACGTGTGGCCCTGAAGCTTAAACCATGACAACAGTTTCACAGATAGAGGACGGGTCGTGTTCAACAAGTGGTTTTCGCTTTAGCGCCGCAGGCATTCGTTCTAAACAATTGTAAGAGCTTCCCGGATTGAGGGCGGGTCGTTTTCAACATGTGGTTCTCAACTTAACGCCGCGCACATTGAAACATTGGAAAGAGTTTCACGCATTGAGGGTGGTTGTTTTTCAACATGCCGCGCACATTCGTTTTAAGCATGTGCTGGAATTTCACGGATTGGGGGCGGCTCCTTTTCAAAATGTGGTTCTCGTCTCAGCGCCGCGCACATTATTTTTTCCTCGTGTTCCCGTGGTCAGCGTACCAGAAATGGCGTTTTGGACGGGTTCAAGATTATGAGGGTGCAACAATTACGTTGATTCGCGGTGTTGGAATTCAAGAACTGGCGTTCTGGTACGATTCAAGATCGTCAAGGCGCAACAGTCAGACTGACCCGTGGCGTTGGAATCCCGAGAACAATGTCATGGCATGCTTCAGGTTCTTCAAACGGTTGTCCTCCAACGAGGCAGTTCTCTCAGCGGAAATGAGCGGGGCCTGTGAAGAGGGAGCTTGGAGGCAGGGTTATTCCAACATCGTTGATGGCCCTTGGGTTTCCACTGGTCCTCCTCCTCCTTTTCCTCGTCCTTCTCCCCCCTGTGCGTCACCTCCCTCCTTTTTTTCCTCGCCTGGGCCTCCCACTGCTGGTGCCGCAGTCGCTCGTGCCCTCTCCAGGGAGCAGCTCACATCGACCACGACCGCGCCTCCCCCAACGACGGTGCCACGTGCAAGCAGCAGCGACATCGGTGTCACAGCCGTGCTCGATGGCTGCCCAGCCGTGCCCCTCGTCCCCGTCTTGGCCCCACGGCTTCGACGCGGCACTGCCATGGGGGGACCTCCGGCGGCGGGCAGAGCCGTGCAGCGGCAGCAGAGGGCCTCCTCCCCCCCCCCCTACGCCTCCACGACGCCCTCCGCCATCCGCAGGAGCTGCGGCCCGCAGGCTGGGGGGGACCCGCCCGTCTCTCTCTGTCATCAGCAGCGCCGTCTCGCGGCCTGCCGAGCGTGCGTGCGGACCGACTCTGCCGCGCTGCGGCGCGGAAAGCCTTCCGTCCCTCGCGGACCGGAGGCGGGAGCTCCACACTCGGATGGCTCTGGCTCGCCTCCCTGGCCCCTGCTCAGCAGGCCCTCGGAGGAGTCCCCCTCGCCCGCGCAGCGGCCCCCTTGGAGTGGGGCGCCCGTCCTTCCAGATCTCCGCGGTACGCGTGTTCGGCCCTGTTCCGTGCCGGCGTGTGGCCGAGGATGCCCCCCTTCCGTGTGAGGCCACCTGCGAGTTGCGCTGGCGATCGCCGGCTCTCGTGGCGCAAAGACTGCGGCGTCGCGGGGCGCCCGGCCGCGCCGTGGGCCGGCCCCCTCGAGGGGCCCGTGGCCGGCCGCAGTCGTCCTCCTCCTCCTTGGCCTCCTCCTCCTCCTCCTTGTCCTCCTCCTCCTCCTACTCCTCCTCCTCCCTCCTCCTCCTCCTCCTCCTCCTCCTCCTCCTCCTCCTCCGCCTCCTCCTCCTCCTCCCTCCTCCTCCTCTAAGTCCTCTAGGTCCTTGGCGCACCATGTCCCGCTGCAGCAACACATGGCACAAAAACTGGGGTAATAAACCACGCACGGCACTTAGGGAAGGGGTCACTCTCTCTTAAGGGGGAAAGATCGTCCGAATTCCACCCCCGTAGAAGGGTCCACCCCTCCTTTCAGGAGGCCAAGAGATTGAGACGCACCCTTATTCCGAGGCCCTCCGTTGCAGGCCTTGGCGAGGAGGACCACCTTCTTAGTGCCGAACGCCCCACAGAGACTGCACCACACTCGGCCTCCTTCTCCACTCCAAAGTCTATGGGAGGGGTGGGCCAAGCGAGCTGTTCTGGGGAGGCCAGTACACGGAAACGCCGCTATGGCGCCTCTCGACCAATCACGAATTCCACAAATCACGCAAGCGGATCTCTTGCCCGCTCGAACTATCTCATGTCCATTAGCCTCGGACACGAGTTCCAACACTTCAAGTGCTTTGTACCGCTTCGCGCGGAACTTGTCAGCATCATTGAAATTCAGCTTGGACAGAGCTCCCCCGACCCCCGCAACCAGGACGGCTCGACCCCGAACCTGGAAATCCAGGGCCTTCAGCTCATTCAACAGTTGCGGCGGGACAGGGTGCATCTTGGCTCCTAGCTTGGCCAGACGGTCTGCTTCTCGGTTGCCTCTCCAGGCCCACCAAGCGCAACCCTGAGCAGACGCCTGAGCCCAAGACTGGTGGCTGCGAATTTTCTCGACGGTCACAGGCGCGGTTAAATCTTCACTCTTGCGGAAAATCTCGCGCCAAACCTCGGCGTACGCAACATTGTCCAGGGTCTGGCCGACCCCAGCATTCCAGGTATCGACGACCATCTTACAATCGCACACAACATGCACAGGCTCCACCCCCACATTCCTGAGAAGCATGCGAAGAGCGTACACTTCGGCACACCCTGACTGCTGGATCGGATGGGGCAGGGGTCCGTATAGGGCCCCGTCCCACCCCCCGTGGCGGTCGACCTGGACGATTCCCCACCCAGCACGCTCCAGCGCGAGGTCTCCTGGGGAGAGGGCCGAGCCGTCGATAGCGACATTGCCACGGAAAACATCGTCGGGAGGCAACACGCTCCAAACCTGAGCCTCGTCCTGACGGGGGGGAGGGGCCTCGAAAGCCAGGCTGGGGACCAGGCATCTGGCGGTACCGATGTCGTAAGACGGTGCTTGCTGAAAATCTTCGATGGCCTCAGGCACGTCCAACTCTCGGCGGATCAACCAGGTCGCTGGGCAATCGACGATCCTGTGCTTGGGCGTGCCCCAGTCGCCGCAAAACTTGCACTTGGGGCATAGCGCCCTCCGATCTCGGAAGAGGATGCTCTGCGTCGGGAAGCCGCCCGACACACACCCTGACAGAAACGCAGCACTCGCCAACTGACCTCGGGAACGAAGCTGCCTCAGGACATCAATGATGGGCTCCAGGCGAGGGGCACCCGATAAAGCACTCCCGTGAAAGCTGATGCCCTCCAGATTCTTCTGCAAAGCCAACTTGGTGCCAGAGAGGACCAGGGTTTTGAGAGATCTCTTTTCCAGGTACCCGAAGTCAAACAGCATGCCCCTGGAGTATAACGTGCAGTACACAGCACCCCCAGGACCGTGAACCTGATTCCAGTCAAGCCCAGGGGCCTTCTGGGCTGCCTCAACGATGCTCGTGAGGAGGCTGCGGGGCAACCACTGCTCACGCCAAGCTTGCACCCAGGATTGGAGGGGAAGTAAATTGGCCTGGTAGGTGGGGTCGAGGGTCGGGTCCGCGCACAGTTGGAACTCCAAGGTTCTCGAACGGCCTCTAGACACTCCAAACGTACTCCTAGCAATCACCGATCGTATCTGCCTGAGCCTTTTTCTGGAGACTCCGTGCACCCTCGCGCCATACATACCAGCGGGGAGACCTCCAGTCTTCACAATACGCTTGGCACCAATGGCAGCCGAGCTGAGGGCTCGGAAACGGTGAGCTCGAGGCTGCAGCTTGCCAATACGACCGAAATGTACCCTAGCACTAACCCTGCCTCTAACCTTGAAGTCCACCCCCAGGTTTTTTGTAGACTGGCTGTGCCTAAACTTCCACCTCTTCAACTTGACAGATATATCTTTCGCTATCCAACCGTGCGTAGCCACCGCTACACCCTTGGTTCTGGACACGATCAGGCACATCCGCTCGAGCTGCTGGCAGAGGAAGAAACTGGCGAGGCCTAGGCCATTGGCAACTGTCTTGCCTTTCCCCGCCATGCACAGGGTGATATCATCCACCGCGTTAAATGTTCTGACAAAACGAAACGCGTCCGCAAGCACGTCGAGAGGGTCAAGGAGGAAGACTTTCAGGAGGGTGGTAGCGAACGTGCAACCCGCCAGGATAGCCTGAACCGCGAACACCCCACGAGAACACATCTTCCCCAGGAGGACGTGCCGTTGGCCCCGATAGACCGTCAGAAGATAACGGAGAATAAAAACGTTGAAACCGTGTTTGATGGCAGCTCTGACCAAGAGGATATGTGCCACTTTTTCATAAGCCTTGGTGAGGTCGAGGAGGGAGGACGCGAACGACATGCCTGTGTTCTGCGCAAACTCACCCATAGCCGACTGCTCCCAGACCGCTCGCTCGCACGAACGGCCAGCACTGCCATAGAAATACTCTCGCTGGTGGTCACGTTCCCAGGAAACCGCGGCCCGACGAAGCATCCGAGACATCACCCGAACAAACGCCGAGAGCAGCCCGATAGGCCTGTGACCCCCATCAGGTTTTTCAATCATCGCCACCAGAAGGATCTTCATCTGACTAGGAACGTGACCGAGCCGAAGAACAGCCTTCCAGAGACCTGCCAGGGCGAGCAAACAGTCGTCGCTGACCAGAAGGAGATCCCTCGGGTGGACGTTGTCGTTGCCCAGGGCGGTCCTGGCCTTAAACTTCCTGCAACACGCGCGGATCGCGGCGGGGTCGAACTCCCAGTCCAACATGCCGCTAGATTCCTCATCACTAATGCTGGCGATGTGGTCATTTAGAGCCTCGAGTGGGTCCTCATCAGGAACATCCCCCCCTGGGGTATTCCAAATCCCCTCCCACTCCGAGGTTAAATCGCCTAACACTTCCTGCGGGCCTGGAGGGGCCTGTCCAGGGGCCGAGGGCTTCGAAGGGACCCAGCCTGAGGGGGCCTTGGTGTAGCGGTGTCCTAACCCCCCCCCGTTTTTGACAGCTTCTTTGACCCAGCTCCTCCAGGCAGACTGACGTGACGAAACCTGCACGCGCTCGAGCCTGTCGGCGATGCGCCCTGCGTCTGTCGCCCAGTGGTAGAGCTCCTGAGCAGAAGCGTCCTGCAGCACAGCACGAGAAGGCTGCCAGGAGATCCACTCCTGGCAGTTCCTAAGGGTAGGAGGGCCTCGGACGATCTTGTTAATGATACACTGAGCGTCAATCCCCAACCAAGACCCCCCCTTATTTCTAATGTAATGCAGCTCCAGGATCCAAATATGGAGGGAACGCCACCCCCTGGCCAGAGCACACCCCACAGGATACGGACCCCCAGTGGTCTGAATCTCGGGAACGGTCTGGATTTTCGGACCCTGGACCCTGCCGCGGTATTGATCCCCGAGCTCCTGGTCCAGACAGAAGACCCTGCACATTTCGTCCTCGTATAATCCCAAGAACTCGGAGAAAAACAGCTGGAGCCTGTGAACATCAGGCGCTTCTTCAAGGCGAGCAGCGAGCGTGCCCCAGTCCACCGGCGACGTCGGAGGCCCAAAGGGAAGCTCAGCTCGGTCCCGCGGAAAAGTCTTGGGGCTGAACAGGCGCGGCACCTCAGGCAGCACGGCCTTGTGACGCATCACGAGCTGCACGGCCCAGTGCGGCTTCAAAGTGGAAACGCGACTGCGACGGACTGAGGTGACAGAATTGGCCAACCCTTGCGAGACCAAGAAGTAATCAAGAACCTTCCAGACTTTACCACATCTGCACGTGGGAAGCGACGGCGCACATATCGTAGCACGAAGACGAGATTCCCACCCGCACTCACGAAGGGCTTGGGGGGTACAGTTCCAGTCTCCACCTATGACGTACGGCAATCTCCACCCATGCAGAAGTTCCCCAAGCCTGGCTAATAGATGAGACCCCTCAGGCCCCAAGGCCATTCCCCCCGTCGGAAGGTAAAGTGAAACAGCTAGGAATCCCCCAGGGACATACGCGCTGACCCAGCATATGTGGACCCTGTGGGGGCTCGGAAGGCGTGGGTAACTAGCCCCAGGCGGCAGGCTCATCCCGAACGAACGACGACATCCGACACCGACACCACTCGAAAGCCCGCCGTCCTGGGTAACAACAGAGGGCCTCAGGCTGCACTGCCAGCCTAAGGACGCCAATCTAGATTCAGCCTCTTTAATCTGGAACTGAGCTCGACCGATCTCCTGAGTCAAAACGACATCGCCCCGAGATTCAGCAGCCAAAAATCGACAAAGAGGCCCCCATCCCGATGAGTTTGCAGTCTCAATCACAAACTCACTTCTGCGCTTCGCTGCCTGCGACTTGGGAGGAGGGGAGGGAGGGGGAGGACAGGGGGGGAGGTTGCAAGCAGCTGGACGCAGGCACTGGTCAAACTCGCGATGGGCTCTCGCCCGTGGCCGCAAGAGCTGCCTTGGCACGCGCCAGGGCATCAGGGGCTGGCGCCTCAGTAGACGGAGTGTCCACACCGCCGCCGTCGGAGAACGTCTGCTTCTCCACGGCCACCCCCTCGGAAACCTTCTGCTCACCACGGACGCCATCGACAGCTCCTTTACGCTTCTTCTTGAGGCGCTTCGAGTGCTCCTGGTGCTGCTGGACCAGGGACTCCGCCTTCTCCTTGACCGAACTGAACAGATTCTCCGTGACCGACTTGAGCCCCTCGGCCAGCAGGCGCTTCCTCTCCTCCAGCTGGGACTTGTCAGTGGCATCCAACTCCTGAACGTCTCCCAAGCCAAAGAGGCTCTCGCCGTCGACAAAAATGTCCTGGATGTTACCTTCCAGAATGTCTCGAACGCACAATTTCGCTGAAACCGCATGCATCGGCGCCTGCTGCTGCGCGCCCAGGGTCTTGGCGTGCAGCGCGGACACCGCCTGCTGGTACTCGGTCTTGGCCTCCTCGACCTGGGCGACCATAGCCGTGACCACCTGCTGCTGCTCCGCGTGCTGCTGGGTGAGGCGCTCGAGCTTCTCGGTCGCCTCCAGCAGCTGCTTCTCCACGTACTGTAGTTTGGCATGCGCCTCTCCCGCCACATCGTGCGCTGCACGTCCTGGCTGAGAGCGTCGCACTCGTTCCTGTTGACAGGCACAGGTGAGCTGGCCATTGTTCGTCTTGCTACCCAGCTGCTCCAAACTCTGCAACTCCGCGTCCGAGAGGCTCTTGAGGTCCTGGCCGCCGCCGCAGCCACCAGGTCCTCGGGCCCCTGAACGCCAAGGAGCGAGGTGGAGGCCAGGAGGAGGAAACACACCTTGGCCCATCGGACCGCCAGTCTGGCCCTCTCGCGGCAAGAAGACCTCTCCCGACGATCGTGGCGTGCCGCAGTGCTTGCACCAGTCCCAGTCTGCCTGATTCTTTCCGCACCCACATGCACACTTCCACTTGGCGCCGACAGCGTTGTGCCAGCCGCCCGAGTACGTCTGCTGCGCTGCGGATTTGCCTGCACCCTTGCCCACTCCTTGCTGCCAGCCCCTGCTGAACGACATGGCTGTACGCTCTGCGGGGTACGAAGAGAAATCCTTCCCGCTGGCGGGCCTCTGGCGGCCCTGGAGAGCGGTGCGTGCAGGCCCTGTGCCTGGCGTCTCGAGCCCCAACCCCAGGGGAAGGGACGCCCCCAGGCGACGGCCTTGAGCCAGAATGGCTACGGACCTCCCTCCTCCTCCTCCTCCTCCTCCTCCTCCTCCCTCCTCCTCCTCCTCCTCTTCTTCCTCCTCCTCCTCGGGTCGGCTACGGCCCCAGGGGAAACAGTGCAGGCAAGGGGTTAGAAGTCACCACCCACCAAACCACCCTAGCCCAACCCGAAGGGCTCATTTTGCCCTCCAATTCCAGCGGGGGGGGGTCGGGCAACATTGAAAAACACACACATGGAACCCGTACCCCCCCAACCCGAGATTCGGGTCTTCAGGTCGGGTTGGGGTGGTCTAGTCGGTCGTCAAGAAGGGGAAGTGCCGGGCCAAGAGGGGCCAGGCCTCCACCCGCCCAGTCTTAGACCTCCGCAGACGTTGGCGTAGTGCTCGGAGCCCTCGAGGGGAAGGGGGGCGGCTCCGCGGGCGTGGACGTGGCAGAAGTGCAGGGTGCAGATGCCGTTGCGATCTTCTCTTGCACTTGGCGGCGCACAACGGGGCCTTTTCAGAAGGTGTGTGAAGGGGGGGCTTCTAAGAAGGCAGGGGCCTTCTTAGAAGCCCTTCCCGGCTTTTTGTAAGCCTTCTTGGAAGCCTTCAGGCTCGTCTAAGAAGGCCCCTGCCCGTGCAAGCTCTCAAAGAAGGCTCCCGCCTTCTAAGACTAAGTCGGGCCTGTCCCTCTTCAAGACGAAGTCGGGTGGCTTGGTGAGCGTTTCGCGCGTCCACATTTTTTTGTAGTCGGCCACAGCCAGGAGGGGAAACACACACACAGACACAATTAATTGTCGATTCCCAGGAAAATGAGGGAAAATAAGGAAGTGGGGGCGACGAAAGCCCAGAAAATACCATAGATTATGGGACTTCCTGGGATCTGTGTTTCTTTAGTTGTGTGTCCCTGGGCTCCGATATTTTTTTTGGGCAGTCGGCCACGGCGCGCCCGCTCGGGGAGGCCGCCGGGACGACGAGCCGGTGCCCCAGATCGCCGTGGAGTCCGGCCTCGCGGAGGCGCTGAGCAAGCTGCTGCAGGTCCTCCGCGAGGCGATGCCCTGTATGCGTCCTCCTCCTCCTCCTCCTCCTCCTCCTCCTCCTCCTCCTCCTCCTCCTCCTCCTCCTCCCCCTCCTCCCCCTCCTCCCCCTCCTCCCCTGAGCAAGCTGCTGCAGGTCCTCCTGAGCAAGCTGCTACAGGTCCTCCTGCTGGGTCTCGCGGGGTCCGTGTGCGCGTGGGCGACGGGCTCGTGCCGACTCGGCTCGGCTCCTTCGCCTGCTGCTGGGGGTCAGCCTCTTGGGGACCGCGCCGACTCCTTCCACTGACCTCCCTTCTCCTCCTCCTCCTCCTCCTCCTCCTCCTTCTCGTGTCATGTCATGTTATGTTATGTCGTGTTTTGCTATGATCGGTTATTTGATGTTATGGCATGTTATGGCATGTTATGGTATGTCAGGTTATGTCACGGTATGGTCTGCTGCTATTCCCAGATCCAAAGAATGGGGTCATTGTTCTCCCCTATCTCCAGAGGATGGAGTTCATGTTATTACTCTGACCTCGCCGACTCCTCACTCACACACCTCCCTCCTCCTCTTCCTCCTCCTCTCCTCTTCTTTTGTATGTTATACTATGTACGCTATGGCATGTTATGTTATTGTTTGTGATGACATGTCGTGGTATTTGTATGGCTTGCTATGCTAAGTTATGTGTTGCTATGCTATGTTATATTATGTTGTGTTATGTTATGCTATGCTACCTGGTTGTATATGATGCTATGTTATATGCCATGCTATGATCTGCTATGCTATGGCATGACGAGCTTGAAGAAGAAGGTGCTGATGATGCCGATGAATATATGCTGCTGCTGATGCTGCGGCTGCTGACGATGATGATGACGATGATGCTGATGATGATGATGGTGATGATGATGCTGCTGCTGCTGATGATGATGATGATGATGATGATTATACTGATACTGATACTGATGCTGCTGCTGCTGGCGAAGCAGATTCTGAGGATGTCTCGAGCGAGGCGCAGGTGTCAGCAGCCCCAAGGGGGAGCCGCCAGGGGGCATTGCACTCCTCCGTTCGCGTCACAATGAGGGGGGGAGATGTCTCGAGTGGTGTGCCTGCTTGCTGCCGCGGCATCCTCAGCTTTCGGAGAAGATTTGGAGGATGTCTCGAGCGAGGCGCTGGTTTTCGCCCCAAAGGGTGGCCGCCAGGGGGAATTGCACCCCTCCGTTCGCGCCAACATGGCGGGGATGTCTCGAGTGGTGTTTGCCTGTTTGCTGCCGCAAGATCCTCCGCTTTCGGAGCAGATTCGGAGGATGTCTCGGGCGAGGCGCTGGTTTTCGCAACGCTGGGGGCACATACTGCGAGGATGCCTCGAGCGGTTTGCTTTTTTGCTGGCCAGACTCGTCTGCGTTCAACGCAGATTCTGAGGATGCCTCTGGCGAGGCGCTGGTTTCGACACCCCAAGGGGGCCCAGATTATGAGGATGTCCCAGACTCGCTTATGCTTGACCTCACACTTGCTTAGACTCACTCATACTCCGACTCGTACTCATCATACTCATACTCAGACTCACTCACACTCATATTTATGCACACTCAGACTCACTCGCACTTAGACCCACCCACCCTCAGACTCACCCGTAGTCAGACTCATTCGTATTCAGACCCACTCAGACCCAGACCTTTACTCATCACACATCTATTCGGACTCACTCAAATTCAGGCTTACACACACTTTTAGAATCACTCACGCTCAGACTCACCCATTCACTCGTTGTCAGCCTCACTCGTACTCAGACCCATTCAGACTCAGAGTCGTACTACGTAGACTCACGCTTAGACCCACTCACACCCAGACCTACCCACACTCAGACCACTCTCACTCAGACTCGCTCATACTCGGACTTACGCATTCTCAGACCCACTCGTACTCGTATTCTCTCATACCTAGACTAATTGTCACTCGCACTCAAACATACGAAACCCCTTTTCTACATCAAGCCTGTTTATATCCGAAAACCCTTGCGTCTAGACATTCACGGCGGACGGGTCCATGCAAGTAGATGTACATATGGGGAGCCCCACGCAGTGCATAATTCATATTCGGGGTCGTATCGCCGTAGCCATTCTGGCTCAAGCCATTGTGGCTCACGGAGCGGGGGCAGTCTCGCTCAGGCTCGCCGTTGGTCTCAGTCGCCACTCTCGGGAAACTGCCAGGAGGTTGCAGAGTTGCGCGATGGGCGCCTGCTTCTCGGCGGTCTGGGCCGATGCGGACGCCCAGCTCGCGACCGACGAGGCGCGCGTGAAGGCGGAGGCGGAGGCGGAAGCGGACGCCCAGCTCGCGGCCGACGAGGAGCGCGTGCAGGCGGAGGCGGAGGCGCCATTGCCGCAGTCCAATTCTGTCCAACCTCGGCGCAGTTCGTGGGTCGTTAATGCCGACCACAGGGGGATGGGGGGACACGAGCTGGAGCCCCTCTGTGCGTGCACCGACGTCATCGACGTGGCGTGGCTCGTGGACTTCGCAGACGGCAAGGTGATGCCCGAGCGCAAGGGCGTGGTGTCCGCGTGGCAGGGGCTGCCGCCAGAGGCGAAGGTGTCCATCACGGAGCTCCGCAAGACCACGTACAGCAACGGGTTCTCCGTGGCGATCCTGAGCTACGGCTGGGCCGCCAGGCACTACCCTGACCCCGCCGGAGAGCAGCTGCGCAGGCTCCTGCTGGCGTTACGTTGCGGTCGATGGTCAACGGGATTCATCTAAACGGTCAGGGTTGCTTTGGCGACTGCGCCAAATGGGGCCTCGTGTGGGACTTCTTGTCGCTGCCGCAGCGCGTGTACACCGCGCGCTACAAGGCAGAGCGTGACGACCGCACCGAGTACTTGCTGAAGCGCTTCGCCAAGGGCCTCGCGAGCATCAACATCTGGTACGCCCACCAGAGCGTTACAACGCTGGTGCGCGACTGGCCGATGCCCGCTGATTCGGAGAACCAGCACTCCATCGACCAGTGCGGTTGGTCTGCTTTCGAGCGCCGCCTGAGCAGCATCGTCAAGCGTGCGGGCTGCTATCTGCACATGAGCATGCTACCCTCGCTCGCAGAGAACAAGACCTGGTGGAAGGTGGCGTCGATGTGCAAAGGCAATCGCGAGCCCATGATTGCCCCCGACACGTTTGAGCAGATGATGCGTGAGGGCATTGCGAGCGGTACGCTAAAATTCACCATTGGCAAGAATGCGACCAATATCTGCGTCCCGCAGTACCATAAGGCGTTCGCCAGGCTCCCCAGCACGTCCGCTGGTCTCTCACATCCGAATCTCGGCTGGGGCCCAGAGCAGGGGACGCAGCTGGCGGCCGCGTTCGAGTATGCGCAGCGCGCGGGCATCGCCGTGGCATCAGAGGCGCTCGACCTCCAGGACAACAATCTCGGCGGCGAGGGGGTCCATACCATCGGCGGGGTGGTCGAGGCGGGCGCGCTGCCGAAGCTCCGGGCGCTGTACACCGAAGGCAATCGTGCCGACCGCCACGCGTAGGCGTGGATCAAGGAGATGGCCAAAGCTGCAGGATGTGCTGCTGTTGCACGATGTGTGAGGCCCCCGCGTCCGGTCCTGCCTGTGCCCCCCAGGGGGTGGTCCCGGCGCCGTTTCGCGGCTGACCTGCGCTGCCGCGAGGCGCCAGCCCTCGCGGAATTCAGGTCGGCCTTGCACGGTCTGCCAGGATGGTGGTGTTATTCATCACTAGTCACTAGCAGCTGGCCTCTTGCCGTTGTCGTTGGAACAGACAAAGTATTCGGGGTCGTGCTTTTTTACAACCACTGCCTTCTTCGTTTTCTTCCTGGGCAACTCGTCTCGGAATATCTGGTCCAAGCCATTGCTCTTCTCAGAAGATCAGTTCTCCTCAGCTTGCCCTTCGCTGATTCTGATCCCCAGTAGCCTGACCCCCCTCAGCAGGCGAGTGCTCGGCGGCGACGGCGGCGCGGGGCGTGCAGGTTCGGGCGTCCTCTGGCGGCTCGTCCTGGGCCTCGTGCGCCCTCGGAGGCACGCGCTGCGAGCTCTGCGGGCGGGGCGGAGGGCTTCTGGGGGCTTCTTCGACGGGGAGGTCGTTCAACGGTCGAGCGGTCCGTGTGGTGTCTACGGGGCGTGAAACCGACCACAGCCACTGCTTTTCTTTTGTTGCCGCCCTCAGCCCGCAGAAACAAAGCAGTGGCTGTGGTGGTAATCTTCGTTGAGCTGGGCACCAGGGAAATGACCACAACCACTGCTTCTTGTTCGGCCGGCTGGAAGGCGGCGCAAACAAGAAGCAGTTGCTGTGGTCATTTTCCCGTCCTGCAGTAGCATACTGGATCGGTTCGCAGCGTCGGCGTCGTCCGGTTTTTCACCGAGCGCGTTCCAATGCTCGCAAAGGTCAGAGAACAAAAACACATGTCTGCCCCGATGTAGTGCATCGTCCATCCCCCTGCGGCCACTTGCGAGTGGTTCCTCTTGCAAGTCGTGTGGGCCGCGCCGCGCTTGTCTGTAACGCTGGCGCGGCGACGGCGCGGCGACAGTTCGCGAGAGGCTCGTCCTGCCGGGGCGGCCGGAGGGTTGGTTGGGCGGTCTCCGGCGGTCGGGGGTCCCCAAGTGGGGTGGTGACCACACCGTGCGGTGAGTCGGTGGGGATTCGGGGTCACCGCCCGCTTTTGGGACTCGGGTCGTTCTCCGAGGGCGTCTCGGGCGATTGGGGCATCTGAGGTCCCAAAACCGTGCGTTGACGGACCGTGCGGTGAGGCCTTGGGGGATTTCGAGGTCACCGCACGGTTTGTCACCGCACCGTTTCGGGACTCCAGAGGCGGGCGGTTTGCGCTCCCCGGCCCCGGGGGGCACTCCCGTCGGAAGCGGCGAGGGCTGCCATGATATCATTGCGCCAGCATCGCAGAGCGGATCTCGTTCGGAAAGCACCCTGGGATGAGCCAGGATTTGTCCTGGAGAGTGTCGCTCAGGAATTTCGAAGCGAATTTCGCGCGGATCTTTTTTGACCAGGAATGAAGTCGACCAAAAGATCCACGTGAAATTCACTCCGTTTTTCGCTCGCCGTTCCGGGGTTTTGCATTGGCAGAAATCCACGCAACATTCCGCTGCAGCACGTCTGCAAGGTCGGTGCAGTGAGAGATGTCGCAGTGGCCCTTCGAGCGGGGGATCGACCACGGAATGAACTGATTCACCCCGAGACTCTTCTCCTGCCGGGCCAGCGAACGAGCACGCAGAGTGCTCCGCAGATCTACGGGGCACTCCGTCTTGCAGCTTCGGCGGGGGAGCCAATTCTTGGGTAACTCAGCTCCGGAGCCGATCCCCGGCTCGAGCCCGGCAACCGCTGCCGCCGACTGCGAGGGGGGAGCGGCTCTGGGGCGCCAAGAGCAGGGAAGGGGGGCCGACGGCACGGAGCAGCTGCCCGTGCAGCCCTCGGGGGCCCCGCGTGGCCCACCGGGGTGCGTCCTGGGGCCCCTCCCCGCGGCGCCGCCTCTGCGCCCCCCTTCTCCCGCCCTCCCCCTCTGCGGCCGCCCTCTCCTGGCCACGTCACGCTCTCCCCTCTCCACCGGCCAGGCAGGAAGGAAGCCGGGACGATGAGGGGAGGAGAGGGGAGGAGGCGAGAGGCGAACCTCCACAGAGGTTCGGCACTTGTGCCCTCGCAGTGGGCCCGCTGCCCGTCCGAAGGCGTCCAGCCGGGAAACGAGCATCGACGAGGTGACCTGGAGCAGGAGGTTCGTGCTCAGGACCTGCCGAGGGGTCGCGGCCCGAGGGTGTCGGCACGGCAGGCGGGCCTCGGCGGTCGAGGCGGCAGCTCGCGAAAGCCCTCAGAAGGTTACGGTAGGTTCGTGTCGTGTCGACCAGCGGCGACCCCGCCGCCGGAGTTCAACGTTGAACGCCGACGGCGACTCAGAATCGATCGATGTTCAACGATGTGGCGTTTCGGAAACGGCCGATCGTTCAAGGGTGAACGATTCCCGCGGTGTCAAAAACCAACGCTGGGGTCGGCACGACACGAACCTGCCGTAGCCTTCCGCCGGGGGCGGGGCAACTGTCGGAAGTTGCCTGTCCAGCCTTTCCCAACCTTCCGGGCCGCCGAGCAGTAACCTTTTTCAGCTTCTCTTCGAACGCACGCCTCAACTTTTCAATGTTGTTCAAAACTTCTTGGGCTCTCCCGGAAGTTTCTCCTCGGGGGCCCCTGGCTGGACCCTTCCCAAACGTCATGCTCTTATGTTGCTTGTCCGCTTGGCAGCTCTTCGCGCCCTGCGGTTCCCACATGTCTTCTCACTTTGTGGCATGGGCGGCATGGTGTTTGAGGAGACGAGGAGTTCGAGGAGAGGGACGACGAAGGGGTGGCGAGGTGGTCAGACTCAGGGCCGCCGCAGCGATTTTTTACTCGTGGCGTGGGCGACCGCGAGCACCGCCGCCGGTCTCGACGCCGCTCCCTTGCGAGAGGTGCTGAGGTTATTACCCTGAGGTCGGGCTTGCCCTCCTACGGACGGGTTCTGGACGGAAAATGAGAAGCAGACCAACCATACACAAAACATGTCCAGAAGTACGCAGAAATCGTCCCCCGATTATGTCTTCGACCACTTTTGAATATTCCTCCTGTAGAGGGACGTGCCCGACTCAACATGTCCCTCTCTTCTCGCCTCAGGCTGTTGCGCAGGCAGAGGAGGCGGAGTCGGAGTCGGAGGAAGAGAGCGCCACCGTTGTCTCCGCCCCGACCTGCGCATCCCGTTCCCTCTCGCAGCTTTCCTCCCCCCTTTTGGGCTCTTTGCTCAGGGTGACATAACCATAAAAACTCGGAGGTCCGCGCGGATTTCTCGGATCCGCGCTGGAACTCCCTGGCGGCGCCTTGGGCGCCGCCCCTGGCGCGCTCCGCGCGCCAGGAAGGGGGGTCCAGCGCGGATCCGAGAAATCCGCGCGGGCCTCCGAGTTTTTATGGTTATGTCATTCTTCGTTCCCCTGTTGCTGCCCGAGAGCTCCCAAAAATCCACCGCGAGGAAGCCCACCGTGGAGACTATCGACATGCACCAGGCGCTCCACGTCGCCGAACCCCCGTGCACCTCCTCCTGCTCCTCGCTGCTATTCCTCCCCCCCCTCCTCCTCCTCCTCCTCCTCCTCCTCCTCCTCCTCGTCCTTCCCCTCCGAGGCAAGGGCAAGTTTATGATGTGCGCCAGTTCAGCGCCACGCGTGAACTTGTGCGGCTAGTGAAAAAACCTCACCTCGTACCCCCCGTGGACGTTCGTGAAGAGCACGCCTGTGCTACGGTTGGTCTCACTGTTGGCGCACATTCTTGCCATTCTTCTCGATTTCACGCGCTTCCCGTTCATTTCAGGACAGGTGGGTATGATGATAGCGATGGCATCAGTGACGCTGGCGATGAGGGTTGTGATGATGATGCCCATGATCACGGGGAGGACGAGCAGTGGCATGGCCTCTGCCGTGCGACTTCATCTGCTGCACTTACAGGGCTTTAAGGGCAGCAGACGGTTGTGGTTCTTGCGAGGGGTTCGCAGGCTCCCTTGAATATCTGTGTTTCTTGAATTTGCGCGGGTAGTGAACTGCACCTGCTGTCTGCGGAGGGGTGGGGCCCCGAAGGCGATCCAGCAAGTACCCCCTTTGAACAACATTTTTTTGGGTCCCTGGACGTTCTGCAAACAACGGTATGTATAACTAGTTGTTTGAGGACATCTTATGTGACGGGAAAAGCCTTTTTCGTCATCGTCATTGTTACCATCATCAGCAGCATCGTCGTCATCGGCATCATCACCATCATCGTCACGTCATCGTCATTGTTAGTGCAATCGTGCGTAAACACATGCGCACGGTACACCATATACCACATTCAACGCACATCCCCAGCGCGCGAATGCACATATACATCCATACGCACCACACAAGCAATACCCACAACACTTTCACTAAACACAGAGCGTACGCCCACTGTGCGCCCTTCTCTCCCGCCAGCCAAGCACACACCCCGTGCGCACACCGTACACGCACCCCCGCCCGCCCGCCCGGCACACACCCCGCACGCACACCGAGACCCCCCCTTTGCCCGCCCGCCCAGTACACATACCGCACGCATGCTGTACACCCTCCCGCTCCTTCGGCACACACACACACAACACGCACCACACACAACAACAAACACACAGCACACAGCACACGCAGACAGCACACACAAACGCACGCACGCAAGCACGCACACACACACGCACACACGCACACACACAACACACATACACAACACACACAACGCACACAACACAACAACACACACCACACACACACCACACACACCACACACCACACACACCACACAAACACACACACAACACACAAACACACACACACCACACACGTCACACAACACACACACCACAGACACACACGGCCACACCCTCACATACACACACCCACACACACCCACGCACACCCGCACACACCCACACACATCCACACACACCCTCACATACTCACACACACCCACGCACACCCACACACCCACACATGCCCACCCACACCCACACACAGACCCACACACACACATACCCCCCCCCCACACACACAAACACACACACACCACACACACCACACACCACACACCACTCACCACACACCACACACCACACACCACACACCACACACCGCACAACACACAACACACTCACACCACACACCACACACCACACACACACACACACACACACACACATAGCACACACACCACATCACACACCACACACACCACAAATACCACTACACAAGCCACACATATCACACCACACAACACACACCACACACGACACACCACACACCACACACCACACACACACACCACACACCCACGCACCACACACCACACACCACACAACACACACACACACACACCACACACCACACACACACCACCACACACCACACCACACACCACACACCACACACACACACACCACACACCACACACCACACACCACACATCACATACACCTACACACCACACACCACATCGCACACACACACACACACTACGCACGCCACACATCACAACACACGCACCGCACACCACACACAACACACCGCACACCACACCACACACCACACATCACTCACCACACACCACACACCACACACACCACACCACACACCACACACCACACACCACACACCACACACCACACACCACAGACACTACACACCACACACACCACACCACACACACCACACAGACCACACACACCCCACACACACACACACCACACACACCACACACACACACCGCACACGCCACACACCGCACACGCCACACGCCACACACCACACACACACCACACACAACACACCACACAACACACACCACACACCACACACCACACACACACACCACACACACCACACCACACACACCACACACACACCACACACACCACACACACCCCACACACCACACACACCACACACCACAAACACAACACACACACACACCGCACACCGCACACACCGCACACACCACACACCACACACCACACACACACACACTCCACACACCACACACACACCACACACCACACACCATACACCACACACCACACAACGCACAACACATAACACACACACACACGCACACACTTTTTCGCGTCGGTGGCTAAGCAGAGTGTGACTGCGCTGGTGATGGGATGCCTAAACGGGGATGCCCTTGGAGCGGATTATGCCTCCATGCAAGAGGTGGAGGGAGGAGGGACGCGGCCGAAGGAAAACAAGGATGGGGCGAGCGTCTGGCGCGCGCACACACGCGCGCACACGCGCACAGCCGTACACGCAGGCAAGCGCGCGCGTGCGCGCGGGGCGCAGCCGCCAGCACGGCTGAGAGAGCCGGCTCGAGGATGCGCTTTTCGGATCCGCGAGCCTGCGTTTTGCCAGGGGCTGGTGGGCGACTGGCACCCCAGCCCTCATGTTAAATCGGACACGTCCCTCTAGAGGAGGAGTATTATCAAAAAGTCAAAAAATCAAGAAATAATCGGGGGACGATGTTTGGACTATCTTTGAGAATCTTTGAATCTTAATTGGTTTATTATTTCATGTATCGCCGAAAATCCGCCGGTAGTGGGGCACGCCCCGACCTAAGCGCACGCACACATGGCGCAAACTTTGCACTTTTTCCGTCGGTGGGGAGGTAGAATGGCTGCACAAGCGAGTAGAGCTAAACGGGGGTACCGAGAAGCGAATTGGCCAGCGTGCAGGAGAGGCAAACTTATACCCATCCGTGCACAGAGCACGCGCATTACAGGGTCCGGCTTGAATAAGGAACACTTGCTTTTCAAAAGGGGCTCGGTCGTTCTTTTGGTTTGCATGCGTTCCGCTGCCTTCTTGGCGGCGAACCCCTCTGGCGCTCCTTCGAACTTAAAATAGACTTACTTGGGAAAAAGGGGCTTCGTTCCGCATTTGTCGTTCCTCAGGGCGGGCCGAATGCTGTATCTGACCAGAGCAACCGCAGGCAGCCGCTGACCACAGGCTGCTCATGGCAGCCACCTGGACATTTGGGGGGAGGCCAGCGCCGGCACCCCATTGGCACGAATGCGCGTGGGGTGCTGGTCCTGGCCACGCGCAGAGGGGGGTAGGGGGAGGGGGAAGGCTTCTTAGAAGGAGGCTGCTTCTTAGAAGGAGGCCGGCGCCTTCTAAGAAGCAGCCTCCTTCTAAGAAGCCTTCCCCCCTCCCCCTACCCCCTTGTGTGCGCCGCCATTGGTCCTTGCGCGCGTGCGCACGCGAGCTCCATGGAGCGGCGCTTCCCGTTCTTGCCCCGATGGGTTTGCAGCGTGGCAGTTTCGCTGGGGAGGCTCTCAGAAATCGGCTCCAGAGGGGTCTCCTGAGCAACATCGTCTGCGAATCGCTCCTGGAGGGCCTCAGGACGGCCCAAAGCAGCCTCCAGAGGCTCCCCACAGGACCACCGAAGCGCCCCAATTGACCCTCAAGAGGCTCCCATGAGGCTCCCATGAGGCGCCCAGAGGCTCCCAAGAGCGCCCGGCGAGGCTCGCATCGCACACTGCCCAAGAGAGAGCCCCCAGGCGGCCGAAGAGGGCGCAGAGATGGCTGGCCCACGAGAGCCTCCGCAGACCCTGGGGAAGCGCCTAGGCAGCCCACGAGGGCCCAAGAAGCTCCCCGAGCTCCCCCAAGGGACCCCCAAGATGCTCCAGGAGGCATCCAGGAGCTCCCCACGATCGCCCGAAGAGGCCCCCGAAGGTGGCCCGAGAGTCCACGCGCTCGCCTTCCCAGTTCTCTTACTCTGCGTCCTCCCCCCATAGCCCCCCACTCCTCCATGCTCGCTCTCCTGTGCGTCCTGCGCGCTGCCCTCGACGCCCGCCCGTCGAGCCACACACGGTCGGGCCGCTGAAGAAGGAACCCTTTTCGTTTGGGAGGGGCGCAGTGCTCCTCAATTGTTTTACCGTTTGTCTCAGGTGTTCCTCAGGTTCTCTTTGTGAGATCGAAGTTTAGGTAATAGAAAGGCCTCGTTCCTTTTCTAGGACCTTATGCCAGCGTTTCGACTTCAGCCACAGAAGCGGCACTTCCCGTCTGGGCCGCTGTGTGCACAGAGTGGTGGTCATCATATGAGCGGGCATACGTTTCAAAGGTTTGAATAGAAGATCTTCCTGTGGAGGCCACGGCCTCCACGCCATGCCCTAGTGGGCACGGGCGAGCTCTCCAGAGGAGCACGCACGACTCCAGCATTCGTTCGTTCGTCCGATCATGTTTACTCTGGCATGCGGTTTGCGACGCGGACATCAGGGTCGGGAGCTTTTGCTTATTAGCGTGTCGTTCCGCTGGTTCTAGCCCACAATGTTTCGGCGCGACATGCCAACTCCGTCCTGGTCCCAGGCATCAGCGTCCCGAATCTATCCAAGTCTCACGCCTCGCAGAGCGGAGCAACATGCCCTCGGCTTGCGGGGCGTCGCGTGCCGCCAGGGCCGCCGCCGCGGTACGCTCAGCAGAAGTTCCCTGACCGTATGCCAGCGCGTGTGGACGCGTGCCCTATCCGCGTCCCGCGCACGTGTGCTCTCGGGCGGGCTCGCGCGTGCCCAGGCGCCCTGCGCTGGTCTGACCAGGGATCGCAGGGCTGTTGCTATCGATGTCGAGGAGAAGGAGGAGGAGGAGAAGGAGGAGGAGGAGGAGGACCAGGGGGATGAGGAGGAGATAGGAGGAGGAGAAGGAGGAGGAGGCGGAGGAGGACCATCAGGCTCCAGCTCGTCGACCTGAGCAGGGCGATGCCCGCTTCCAGCTTCTCCTGCCGCTCACCGACCTCGAGCAGGTCAAGGCGGGCGGGCTGCGTCGCGGCGTGGGGGGGGGGGCGTCGGACAGGCGAGCAGGCGGTGTGCAGCCTCGCGTGCAGCATGCTGTCGGGGCAGCGAGGCTTGCCGAGTCGCAGCGGTGGGGGGCGGGCGGAGGGCGCTGTGGTCGTGAGGGTGCGGGGGTCTTGGCAGAGGTGGCGCAGACGGAGGCGGATGTGCTGTGGAGGAGGGGGGGAATCTGAGGATGGCGATGGTGAGGAGGATTAGGATGCTGATGATACTGATGATGGCGATGCTGCTGATGATGATGATGCTGACGACGACGATGATGATGTTGGTAATGATGATGATCATGCGGATGGCGATGATGATGGTGATAATGCTGCTGCTGATGATGCTGATGATGATGAGGCTGCTGGTGATGGTTGTGGTTGTGATGACGATGATGATTATGATGATGATGACGATGATGGTGATGATGACGATGATGATGATGCTGATGATGATGATACTGATGATGACGATGATGATGCTGGTGGTGATGATGATGACGATAACGATGATGACGCTGATGATGATGATTCTGATGAGGATGATGATGATGCTGATGCTGGTGATGATTGTGCTGATGGTGGTGATGCTGCTGAGGTTGCTACTGCTGATGATGGGGATGAGGCTGGTGAGGACGATGGTGGCGATGCTGATTATGATACTGATGATGCTGCCGATGCTGATGATGATGATGGTGGTGACGATGCTGATAAGGAGGATGGCGATGATGAAGATGCTCATGATGCAGATGATGCTGCTGATGATGATGATGCTGATGATGATGATGACGGTGATGATGGTGATGATGGTGGTGGTGGTGGTGGCGGTGGTGATGATGATGCTGATTGTGATGATGATAACGCGGATGACAATGATGACGATGCTGCTGCTGCTGATACGGATGCTGCTGATGATGATGAGGACGATGACGACGATGATGACGCTGATGATGATGCTTATGATGATGCTTATGATGAACATGATGAGGATGTCGCGGGATGATGATAATGATGATGATGATGATGATGTTGATGCTGATGCTGCTGCTGACGATGATGATGATTCTGCTGATGGTGATGTTGATGCTGGTGCTGCTCATGATCATAATGATGGTGATGGTGATGGTAGTGGCGGTGATGATCCTGTTGCTGCTTCTGCTGCTGATGATGCTGCTGATGCTGCTGTTGCTGCCGCTGTTGATGATGATGACGATGATGATGATGATGATGATGATGATGATGATGATGATGATGATGATGATGATGATGTTGGTGAGGATGATGCTGACGCTGCTGCTGATGATGCTGTCGATAATGCCGTTAATCCTGATTATATTGTTGATGATGGTTATGATGATGATAGTGGTGATGACGGTGGTGATGATTATGATGATGATGATGCTGATGCTGATGATGATGATGCTGATGGTACTGCTGCTGATGATGATAATTATGATGACGAAGATGATGTCACTGACGATGAGTAGAACGATGACAATGACGATGATGAAGATGTTGCCGATGATGCTGCCTAATGATGGTGTTGACGATGATGACGATGGTGATGCTGATGATGCTGCAGAGAAGGATGATGATGACGCCGATGCTGAGGTTGATGACGATGATAGATGATGATGCTGATGCTGATGATGATGCTGATGCTGGTAATGATGATGATGACGATGACGATGACGATGATGATGATGATGATGATGATGATGAAGATGATGATGATGATGATGATGATGATGATGATGATGATGATGATGATGATGATGCTGACGCTGATGATGGTGATGCTGCTGATGCTGTTGATGTCGCCACTGGCGATGACGATGACGATGATGACGATGCTGATGATGATGCTGGTGATGACGGTGATGATGATGATGATGATCAGAATCATGATCATGCTCATGACCATGATTATGCTGACTCTAGCGGTGATGACGATAATGAGGTTGATGATGATGATGCTGATGCTGATGCTGATGCTGACGCTGCTTATGATACTGTTGCTGCTGATGCCGAGGACTATGATGATTATGATGACGGTGATGATGATGGTGATGATGATGATGATGATGATGATGATGATGATGATGATGATGATGGGGATGATGATGCTGCTGATGATGATGATGCTGCTGCTGATGCTGATGATGAGGATGAATGCCATGATGCTGCTGATGGTGAGGAGGAGAACGATGAGCAGGAAGAGGATTACGCATGCCAGTCCTGCCATGAAAGTGTACCTATGCCTCTCAATGCACAGCTTCCTTGTATGCCCCGTTCCTGCTGCATTTCCTTGTGCATACCTCCATCTGGTGCTTATTCCCCGCTGTGTCAGGTGGCTGCCGAACAACGACAGCATGAAGATGACCTTCGCAAGAAGAGGGACGAAGAGGACGGCTGCGTTTGGTCATTCTGAGAGCAGCGGTTTGTCCACATTCGAAGGTGCAAGATTGTTTAATAGGGTGAATCCGATGTACATGCACAGTTACATGTTCACGCATACTCGCAAACGAACATTTATATAGACATTCACAGGTATACACGTGTGCATACTTATCCATATACGTTTGTACCAAGCTTGTGTGTATATATTTATGTATTGAGGAATACAGAAGGAGGGGGTAGGAATCGTTGAACTCTTGCACGTATGTGTATGTGTATGTATGCATACATGCATACACACATGCATATTGAGATGCGTGTATACATATATATATAGAGAGAGAGAGAGAGCAAGAGACAGGGAGGTTTGACCCTTTGCCTTGAAGCCTCTTGCCTCTACGCCTAACTCTTGTGCAGTTGAACTCTGTTGGCACCGAATTTCGAGTGAAACGACCAGGGAACGGACGAACACCGTGGCGGGATGATAATCAGGTGGATGATTTCGCGCTTGAAGAGCATGTGGAGACGAGGCGGATGAGGGGAATGACGGATCTGACGAAGACAGTGATGACCACGAGTTGGAGGACGACGGGGACCGGGTGGATCTGGAGACACAAATGACATGAGGAGCTTGAGGAGAAGGATTGGCCGCAGCAGCAGTAGCAGCCGGGGGGTGTAGGAGGGCAGAGGTCTGGGGGGATGCGCAGCAGCGCGCTACCACACCCAGGCGGAAGCAGATCACACGCCAACTCTTGGAGGAGAACGGGAGGGAGGCCCTCGTCCTCTCTCCTCCTCTTCCTTGTCCTGCTTCTTCTCCTCTGTTCTCCCTCCTGTTCCTTCTCCTGTCTGCCTCATGCGTCCCCTCCTCTCTCCTCTCTCCCTCCTCTTTCCGTCTCGTCTCCCCTGTTCATCTACAGTTACTCAATATGAATACTACTCTCCCTCTTCCCCTGATGTCGTGCTGGGAATATTCGACCCCCCCTGCGTACTGTTTTTTTCACACAGGATTCCCGGGAGTTGGGTTTTCGCCTGCGTGTGTGTGTGTGTGTGTGTGTGTGTGTGTGTGTGTGTTTTTTTGTTTTTTGCAAAATGCTGCTCTCGCTGAGGCGCCGGCCTCATTTTTGCTCCCGAATCGTTCCGAATCGTGCTCCCGCTGCAGCGTGGGCCTCATTTTCGGATCGGTGTTTTGCCTCCGTCGTTCAGGATGGCGTTCTCGCCCCAGCGCGGGCCTCTTTCTCGCGCGCCCATCCGCCCGCCACCACCGCGCCGCACCACGCCCCGCCCCGCCGCACGCACACCCACCGCCACTTCCACCCACCAACGCACGCACGCACGCACGCGCACCACCACCGCGCACCGCCACCACCACCGCACTACCCCACCCACCACCACCACGCTACACCGCGTCACACCACATCACACGCGCGCACACACAGACACACACGCACGCACGCACACACACACACACACACACACGCACACACACACACACACGCACACACACACACGCACACACACAGACACACACACACACACCACCACCGCCACCACCACCACCGCCATCACGCACGTACGCACCTGGCCCACCACCAAACCACCAAGACGCCACACCACGTCACACCACAGCACACGCGCACACACGCACACACACATACACACCACCACCACAACAACCACAACCACGCACACACGCACGCACGCACGCGCACCACCACCCACTACGCACACGCGCGCGGAGCCACAGGTCCGCTACGACACGCGTCCGCGGATAGAGAAATACAGCGCCATGGAAGGGATGGGAGGGAGGGGTATGATGTCAGATGTTGACGCGAGCGCACCTAACTTGTTCCTCCTCCCCCTCCCTCCCTTCCTCCCTTCCCCTCCCCTCCCCTCCCCTCCCTCCCTCCAGCCCTCCCTCCCCTCTTCGTCCTTGTCCACCCTTCTGGCCCCCCTCTCCCTCCTTCCTCCTCGACATCGCGATCCTCGCCCTCCTCACCCTCCCCGCCGCGCTCTGCCGCCTGGCTGGCGCGACCGGCAGGTCACGGGCAGGCAAAGGAAGGGTGCCCGGGGGAGGGAGGACGGGGCAGGGCACGAGAGGGAGGAGGAGGGGGGGCGGAGACGCGGAGGGGGTGGGGGGGAGTCCGGGGGGAGAGGAATGGAAGTGGGGCAGGGCACGACGGGGCAGGGCCCAAGGGTGGAGGGGAATGGAACGAGGGGGGAGGCACGAAGGTGGTCTGGGGGGGGAGGGGCGGAGATGCGGAGGGGAGGGGGGAAGCGGAGGATCTGGGCTCCTCCTCGTACGGTCGGACCGAGGTATAAGATCGAGGTCGGTTCGGGGTTGTCAGACGCTCTTGTGTATCCTGGGGGGGGCCCTCGAATGTTCTTCGGTTTGGCCAGCGGAGGATCTCATGTTCTTGAAGGGTGTTTTTCTGTCTTAGGTCCGGCTGTAACAAGCGAGTCCAACTCAAGCAGTGGCGAAGCGTCCTGGCGTGCCTATGGGCATACCAAGCAATGTTCTAAGAATCTTGTGTGGTTCCACGAAATGTTATTATAACATTTCTGGCCGAGACTGTCTTGTTCTAACAGGTCGGGAGTATGTTCTAAAACCATTGCTTTTGTCCTTCGAACATTTTGGGGTTCTAAGAACAGGTAGTGGTAGGCCTTCAGGAATGCCGGGACGGTCGGTCCCTGCTCAACCAACTGCCCGTGGGGTAAAGTTGGAGTAGTAGCTGCTATCCCAGCATCTGCCCCCGACCGGGGGGGATCATCGTGGCTGTTTCGCGCACCCCCCTGGGGATGATGATCCTCTTCCTTTTTCCTACAATATCCTAAGGAGGTGGCTTGGAGGAGGGGGGGGGAGGGGAGGGGAGGAGGGGGGGAGGAGGGCGGGAGGATGGGGAGGAGGATGGGGGGTGGAAGGGGAGTGGAGGGGAGGGGGCGAGGCGGGTAGGGGGGGGAGGAGGGGGGGAGGAGAGGGAGGGAGGAGGGGAGGAGGGGAGGAGGAGGGCGGGAGGAGGGCAGGGCAGGAGGGAGGAGGGCAGGAGGCGGCAGGGTCGGGGCAGGAGAGGGGGGAGGATGATTGCATTCCGTGGGGGCTGGCTTTCGTGAGAGTGCAATCGAGCATCTGACAAAGAAACCTCCTCCCGAAGAGCTGTGCCAGCGTTTCTTGACCGGCTTGCCGGAAAGCTGGCCCAGCTTTTTGAGCACGTTGGCCCAATATCGCAAGGCCCAGGCTCGGTTGAAGACTTTTCTGGGAAGTTGGCCCCGGTTTATCAAAGCATATGCTTCTGGATCATACCTTCGGCTGTGGCTTGCGGGCGGGCTCCAGGGTCGCCGTGCCAGTTGGCGCAGGCGCCGCGCCGCCCCCGCGCTGCCCCTGCACGCCGTCGAAGCGCCGCCCCTGCGCTCGGTCGGGGAGGGGGGGGTCATCGAGAGCAAAAGACCCCATAAGCCTAGTAAGACGATGAAGGCGTGGCCCCACGGAGCCCCCGTCTTCGCAGTAGGGGTACTCTATTCGGGCGGTTTGGCTCGATGCATCCGCAGGAGAGGCCCCCCATATCCCTGATGTTCTTGGCCCCCTCAAGCTAGGTCCTCTTTCAACGGGCTCGGGGTGCTCTTTTTGCTCGTCAGGGGCGGCGCGGGCGCTCCCGAGGAGAAGCGGCGGCGGAAGGCCGAGGCCGAGAGGGCGAAGGCCGAGGCGAAGCGGAAGCAGCGGGCCGAGGCCGCGGCGGCGGAGGCGGCCGCGAGGCTGCAGATGCAGAAGGCGGGGGGCCTGCGCCCGTCCTCGCCCTCGGCCCTCGCCGTCCTCTGTTCCGCGGCCCTCGTCCGAGGGGCCAGTGTTCCACCACCACCACTGCCACAGGTTGGGCGGGGGGAGGCCCTCCTCTTCCTCCTCCTCTTTCTCTTCTCCTCCTCCTCTTTCTCCTCCTCCTCCTGGTCCTCCTCCTCCTCCTCCTCCTCCTCCTCCTCGTCCTCCTCCTCCTCCGCCTCCTCCTCCTCCTCCCTCCTCCTCCTCCTTCTCCATCTCCTCCTCCTCGTCCTCCTCCTCCTCCTCCTGCTCCTCCTCCTCCTCTTCCTCCTCCTCCCCCTCCTCCCCTCCTCCTCCTCCTCCTCCTCCTCCTCCTCCTCCTCCTCCTCCTCCTCCTCCTCCTCCTCCTCCTCCCCTTCCCACCTAATTATGGTAGTGGTGGTGGCAAGTCGGCCCATCATCGTCCCCGGCCCCGCGCTCGTGGCCGCCCTCGTCGGTCTCCAGGGCTCGCGCTCTGCACCGCTCGGTGGGGCGGCGGGCCTCCTGCGACTCCTGGGCGGCGGGCGCTGCGGTCGGGGCTCTCGCCGGGGGGGGGAGGCGCCGGCACGAAGGATTGCAAAAAAACGAAGGATTGCAAAAAGACCCAGGATTGCAAAAAAAACAGGATTGCAAAAATAACCCAGGATTGCAAAAAAACATGTTTTTTTTGCAATCCAGGGTTTTTTTGCAAAGTTTTTTTTGCAATCCAGGGTTTTTTTGCAATCCCGCGAGGCACCCGAGCGCAAGTGCTCTGGACGCCCGAAATGGGTACCGAAAGAATGGGTACTATGCCCAACAGCGGATCTTGTTCGTTCTGAACAGGCCTCGCTGTCCGCGCCGCCGCGGCCCGTGTCCGTTCGAGACAGGAGGCCGCCCGCCCAACAGCGGCCGCTGTTGGTTCGGGACAACATTTGCTGTTGGGCATGTTGCCCATTCTTTCGGTACCCATTTCGGGTGTCCAAAAGTGCCGGTGCAAGAGCAGGGGCGTTTTGCGCCTCCGATGTTCAAGGGGGGGAAAACCCAGACACCGGGCGTCTCGACAAAAGTCGGGACGGAGGTTTTTCGTAGTTTTTGGCCCCTCGCGGCCCTCGCCGAGCCTCGGGACAGTCAAGAAAGCGACTCGGGGTGAGAAACCTGTCCCAGGAAAGTGGTCGAGAGGTCGGGGGCCCGTGTCTCGAAAAAATCGAGACGTCGGATGTGTGGGAAGCCATCCCGACCCCGACAAATTGGCTTTCGCGGAATGGCCCGGGGCGTCCCAAGGGGCGTTTGCTGCGCAGCCCTGCCCTGCTCGATGCCTTCCCTGGGTGCGTCTGCTGAGCGGCTTCGCTTGTCGGGGTGCTTGTTATGGGGTGGGTTTTCTGCCCTCCAGATGTGGCCGTCGTTCCTGTAGGTCTTCTCGGATTGTCTCTTGACGGTGCGGGAGCCCGGGCCAGCCTGTCCCTTACACCCCTGATACCCCTGCTGTCTGCTCGCGGTGCTGCTGCCTACCGATGCGGCTGCTGCTCTGCGTCCTCCGTCTGGTCCCCATATGGAATCCGCCTCCTCTCTCCTTGAAGGGCACTCGAGGCGACTAGGCATCCCTTCTTGAGATCAGTTTGACAGCTCTCACCGACATGCTGGCTGGCTGGGGACGGGGGGGAGGGCGCGGGTTGGCCCCAAAATGCCAGGAGGCGGAGGACGAGTCCCCTCTGTCGCCACCGCTTGACTTCTCTCCAGGCGCTGCCAAGGGATGTCTATGTGAATGGTTCGATGATGTGTGGCCGGCCAGCCTCTTGAGGGGACTGCGACTAGAGGCTGCAGAAGGTGAGCTCCCCCCTTTCGTTTACTGTCCTTCCATCTTCTTCTCCTCCTGCTCCTCCTCCTTCTCCTCCGCCTCTGTTTTTTGTTTCCCAACCATCCTGTGGTGTTGGGTCCTCGTTTTGAAGAGACAGCGCCCCGCGTCACCTCCTCACTCCTCCTCCCCTTCCTCCTCCTCCTCATCGTCACCATCAGCATCATCCCACCCATTTTGGCACACTCCTCACGCGGTTCGTGGCCCCACAGTGAGCTCCACCGAAGGCCCCAGCGGCACAGGCCGCATGCGAGGACCGCCTCCCATTTTGGCATTCCCCTCACGCGGTTCGTGGCCCCACAGGCAGCTCCACCGAAGGCCCCAGTGGCACAGGCCGCATGCGGGGACCGCACCCATTTTGGCACACACTCCTCACGCGGTTCGTGGCCCCACAGGGAGCTCCACCGAAGGCCCCAGTGGAACAGGCCGCATGCGGGGACCGCCAACCATTTTGGCACACCACTCACACGGCTCGTGTCCCCACAAGGAGCTCCACCGAAGGCCCCCGTGGCACAGGCCGCATGCGGGCACCACACCCGTGTTGGCACACTCTTCACGCGGTTCGTGGCCCCACAGAGAGCTCCACCGAAGGCCCCAGTAACACAGGCCGCATGCGGGGACCGCGCCCATTTTGCCACACTCCTCACGCTTCGTGGCCCCGCAGGGAGCTCCACCGAAGGCCCCAGTGGCGCAGGCCTCATGCGGGGACCGCACCCATTTGTGCACACCCCTCGCACGGTTCGTGGCCCCACAGGGAGCTCCACCGAAGGCCCCAGTGGCACAGGCCGCACGCGGGGACCGCCACCCATTTTGGCACACCACTCACACGGTTCGTGGCCCCACAGGGAGCTCCACCGAAGGCCCCAGTGGCACAGGCCGCATGTGGGGACCGACCCATTCTGGCACACCCCGCACACGGTTCGTGGCCCCGGAGCTCCACCGAAGGCCCCAGTGGCACAGTCCGTATGCGGGGACCGCACCCATTTTGGCACACGCCTCACACGGCTCGTGGCCCCACAGGGAGCTCCACCGAAGGCCCCCGTGTCACAGGCCGCATGCGGGGACCTGGCCGCATGCGGGGACTGCTTCCCATTTTGGCACACTTCTCACACGGTTCGTGGCCCCACAAGGAGCTCCACCGAAGGCCCCAGTGGCACAAGCCGCATGCGGGGGCCGCAACCCATTTTGGCACACCCCTCACACGGTTCGTGGCCCCACAGGGAGCTCCACCGAAGGCCCCCGTGCCACAGGCCGCATGCGGGGACCGCCTCCCATTTTGGCACACCCGGTTCGTGGCCCCACAGGGAACTCCACCGAAGGCCCCAGCGCCACAGGCCGCATGCGGGGACTGCTATCCATTTTGGCATTCCCCTTACGCGGTTCGTGGCCTCACAAGGAGCTCCACCGAAAGCGGTACGCGCAGCTGCATATGGTTGGGTCTTTCGTCAGGCTAATGTGTTTTGTTTTCTTGGCATTCCCCGACCTACACGGAGCGCTAGAACGGCATTTGCGCCGCTCGGCACGCTGAGAGGCTCCCCGCGGATCTCTCGGGCGGCGCTGGGCCGCGCAGCGCCTAGATGATCGAACGGGCCTGCCCCTCGGATGACGCTCGCTCCGCCTCCGCGTGAGGCCGGGTGCCGTGTCGCAGGGGGGCCAGACGCCACGCCCCACCCCTTCGGGGAGGAGAAAAAACTGGGCGGGGATCGTCGGCAGGGACGTTGGAAGTCCTGGTGGCTGGTCTTCGCCCAGGTCGGACTGCGCCTCGTGCCGGGGGGCTGGCAGGCCCATTTAGGCTCAAGCGTCTGGCGTCCCCCGGAGCCGCGGTTCGGGCCGGGCGGTCCTCTGGACGACCAGGACAGGCGGGGGGCCCTGCCGTCGGCCTCTCGGGAGGTGTCCACACCTGCAGCGCCTGTGCTGACGATGCTAATGGTGAACGCGATGGGAATGAAGCATGGCGGACGAGAAGGCGACTGTGAACATGAGGACCAATGTGGCGACGGTGATCACGATGACGACGATGACGGTGGTCGTGGCCACGACGAGGGTGTCCCCATGCGTCGGTGGCGTCGAGCAGTACTGGAGACAAGTACGTTGACGACGACTGTTTTGCTTTGAGCGGGTCCCACGGCGTATTCGTCTTTCGAGGCTCCGGAAGGATCGCCGCGGTGCAGTATAGCACCCACGCCTGCGCACCACCTCGAACTCATACGCGCGGGCAACCACCGTGATGGTGACAGAGATGATGCTGATGATGCTGGTGGTGTTGGTGATGCGTAACAATCAATGTTGACACCTGTCGGCTGTGCGCTTGTCGATGGCTTCGATGATGATTGCGACGATGACGGTGGCGGTTGGCGGTGACGATGGCGATGACGACGGTGGTGATGGTGATGGTAATACTGCTGGTGTTGCTGCTGCTGCTGATGCTGATGCTCATGATAGCTGATGGAGGTGGTGGTGGTGGTGGATCTGGTGACGATGCTGATGGTGATGGCAAGGCTGACGATGATGATGGTGATGATGATGATGGTGCTGCTGACAGTGATGCCGATGATGATGATGATGATGATGATGATGATGATGATGATGATGATGATGATGATGATGATGATGATGATGATGATGATGGTGATGGCCGTGGCGATGGCATGATGCATATCCGGGTGATGTTGATGTCGAGTGTGCATGACAATGGTATCGAAGAAATCAGTGATGATGACGATGCTGATGGTCAGTGTGACGGTGGCGATGTGGATGATCATGGTGACGACGGCGCCGGCGACGATGAACATGATGATGGCCGTGTTGGATATGGTGCTGATGGTGATGTGCCACGACGAGTCGCTGACGGGGACGATGGCAACGACGATGATGAGGGTAAGTTGGGCCTGTCCCTCTACAGGGGGAATGCTCAAAAATAGGCAATACATTTTTTTTTGGACCATTTTGAAATATTTACGAAGATTTTTTTCGTCGAGAGTCCCTTTGTAGGGGGACGCGCCCGAGTTAAGGCGATGATGAGGGCACGGTCCGATCCGGGCGCCCGGCACCCCGAGGGCAAGAAAGGCAGCAAGGGCGCCACCAAGGGCGGCGCCAAGGGGCCGCAGGCCCCCCCTTCACCGCCCCCGGGCCGGGCGCGCCCCTCCACAGGGTAGGACTCCTTCGTCCTCGTCTTCTTCCTGCCTCCTCCCTCCTCCTCCTCTTCCTCCTTCTCCTCCTCCTCCTCCTCCTCCTCCTCCTCCTCCTCCTCCCTCTCCTTCTCCTCCTTCTCCCTCTCCTCCTCCTCCCTGTCCTCCTCCTCTTCCTTCTCCTCCGCCTCCTCCTCCTCCTCGTCCTCCGCTTCCTCCTCCTCATCCTCCTCCTCATCCTCCTCATCCTTTTCCTCCTGTTCCTCCTAGTCCCCCTCGTGCCTTATCCGATTCTTTTTTTCCTAAAAAACATTCGTCCTTGCCGCAGCCCGAAACGTGTCGGTAGGGCGGTTTGGGCGTTTCGCCTCAGGCTTCATTCCCGCTTATGATCCCGAAAATTGCAATTTGCAACTGTTTCACGGATCGACGGCGGGCGGGTCGTTTTCAAACGGGTGGTTCTCGCTTTACCGCCGCGCGCATTCGTTTTTAAACGTTTGCAGCCGTTTTACGTGCGGATCGTTTCCAAAGTGCGGCTTTCGCTTTAGCGTCACGCGCATTCGCTTCAACGTTTGCGGCAGCTTCAAGGATGGAGCACAGATCGTTTACAACATGTGGTTCTTGCCTGAGCGCCGCGCACATTCGTGTGACAAGCTTGCAGCTGCTTCAAAGATGGAGGACCGGTATTTGTTAAACAGTGGCTCTTGCCTGGGCCCCTTGTGCATTCGACGGGAAAGCGTGGGTGAAAGAATCGTGTCCTGGCGTAAATTCGGGCTGCCAACACGCAGCAGTTGATTCGCGGTGATGAAGTCCTAGGAATGGTGTTCTGGCACGGCTTCGGATTGTCAGGACGTAACAGTCACGTCGATCCGCGGCATTGAAGTGCCAGGAATATTAGTTTGGTACAGTTGACGCTTCTCACACGTTTGTCTTCTAATGGGCCATTTCCCGCCTACGGCGAATCACCGCCGCCCTCTGCCTTTTGGAATCGCCCGTACGGCCGAACATGTGGCCAGAACTGTGCTAAGCTATCGGGCCATGTGTCCCCCCAGCCGTTGTGGAAATCCTTCGGGAACCACTTGTGGAAGGATGGCAGGGAAGATCAGGATGAGGAGGAGGAGAAGGAGGAGGAGAAGGAGGAGGATGTATCTTTGGAAGGTTTGGCCCATGTGCGGGCACCAGCAGCCCAACGGGCCAGATCTTACGACGCGGAAGAGGAATCCGCCGCTTTTTTCTTCTCACGATTACATCCTTCCTTTTCGGCCACCCGCCAGAGGGTTTGGGAACCAGCCTGGCAAAGGCGTCAGGGGGCAGTGCGACCCAGGGCTCGAGTTTTGTTCAGGTTGGCCAAGGCATCGCGGATAGTCGTCAGTCACCGCAACAGTCCGTTGTCGAAACAGTAGTGGAATTGTTCCAGATGCCGCGCCACGTTGCCCGTGGCACAATGGACATGCAGCTGTGGACGGGGATGGGAAGCGCCAGGAACGCGATCCCAGAGTCGCCATCTGCCTTCCCAGAACAACAGAGAGAGCAAACAGTATCATCACCAGATCCAGGAAATCATCGTGGATGTGACTCCAGCATTGCCAGCAGAAGCGCAGAGTCACGCGTCCTGGATCGCACCGCCTACATATCAGGAAGACATGCCAGAGTTCACGAGAGGCGTCCAAGATCGGATGCAGAAGTTCGTGTCAATCATGATTGCCGAGCAGGAGCCGAGCAGATCAGCAGACAAGCGAAAAGCAGATATCGCCGTCCTCAAGGAAGCGATCTTCAGCACCAGGCCAGTCGCATCCCACATTCTAGGTTTGAGAACTTGCCTTGGGAAGATTGTAGAGCAGGTCGGCACCTAAAAGCAGAAGCTGATCAACCTCCAAGAGGAGATATAGGAGCAGCTCAACGAGGAGGCGGAGCCAAGCTGCTCATCAAGAGCGTGGACAGGGAACACAACGAGAGCGTCGTCGTTGCTGGATGTGGTCGCCGACCAGGCGGATATGGTGTTGTGCCGATGATGGATGTACGCCGCCCGCCGCGCCCAGTGCAGCAGATGGAGCCGATGGCGACGGAGATGGCGGCCACTCAGGCAACGCAGCAGACCACGTGTTCGGCAGTGGCGGCGATTCTCAAGGCGCTGCAAGGTCATGGCATCCAGCTCGACGCAGTCACGGTGGCGGAGAACCCGAGGGCAGAGCTGTCGGAAGCAGCAGCACCAGCGGAGGCAGCAACGAAAATCAACAACGTCGGAGTCCGTCAGAGTACCTTCCAGAACAGGCCAACATCCAAGGGGGAAGGAGCCGAAGGAAAGGAGATGAACGAGAGACGACGAGGTCTAGCACCTAGGCTCGCCAAGAGAGTATATGTCGACATCGTGCCAGAGTACATGCGTGAGGGAGGTGGCCTATCTGAAAGCGGATATGTTCGCAGATTGCGTGAGCGCCGTGGGCAAGCTTTGGAGCCAGCATCAGCGACGTCGTTTTGAGGCCTCTCGTTCTTTCGCTGCGCATTTTCACGGATGGATCTTTGCCTGCCGGCCCGCTCGTGGCAAGTTGGGCCAGCGTCGTCGCGGCGCGGACCAGCGATGGCTTAAGCTTTGGAGGGGGAGCTGCAGGTCGCTCGGCTGAAAGCAGCGCGCCTGTGTATTCTTGGCTTTTGCTTGGCAGCGCGGCGACAGAGTTGCATGCGGCATGTTGGGCCTTGATGTGGATGCCGGGGGTTGCCTGGCCTACGAGGGAACGATTCGGCGAGGCCCCCCCCCGGGCTTGTGCATTGGATTGACTCGATCTCATGTCTGGGGATCATGGCGGGAGAATTCGCCCCCGATAGCCAGCGGGAGATAGCCAGTCTAGCCCAATATTTGTTCAGAGAGGTAGGTCCGACACTTCAAATCAGAGCGAACTACATCCGAGGTCATTCGGATAACCCTTGGAGCGGCGCCGCCCGCGCTCTTGCCGAGCTTGTAGCTAGTTATCCCATTCATTGTTTAGGCAGTCCGCCGCGGGAGATCAGCGCGCAGCTTTAGGCCGAAGCTGTCCTAGAGTGGGCGTGGATTGACCAGGCGCTTGTTTCGGTGCGGGGCGCGCGCCGCTGAGACAACTCGGGCAGCCTTGTTGCGGCCAAGGGGTGGGGCATCTCAACTAACCTTTTCGGTGATTTTCCCGTCGCGCCCCCCGATCCCCAGGCGCGCGACCCCCAAGGGGCCGAACAACTTCGAGCCCCAAGTCCATCGCCATTCGCTCCAGGCCGGTGCCCCGCAGCGCTCTGTCGGCAAAGCGCAGAGAAGAGAGCCGCAGGAGGAGCGGACAATTGATTCGCGCTCAGATGCATCTGCTCGAGGCTAATATTGCTGGGGCGCGAGGACTTCGCGCGCCAGCAGGTTCAAGCGTAGTGGACTTTTTCCCGACCTAGGCTCTGCCTAGAGGGTTCTTACTCTCTTAGCTTAAAGAGGCCGGGCAGTGTAAAGCGCCCCGGGCGGTTCCCCCAGTCCCCGCCCCGCGGTTCCCCCCGGTCCCCTGGGAGCTTTAGCTTTAGCTTTAGCTTTAGCTTTAGCTTAGCTTTAGCTTAGCTTTAGCTTAGCTTTAGCTTAGCGTTTCGCTTAGCTTTTCGCTTAGCGTTTAGCTTAGCGTTTAGCTTAGCTTTAGCTTAGCTTTAGCTTGGCTTTAGCTTAGCTGTAGCTTAGCTTTAGCTTGGCTTTAGCTTAGCTTAGCTTAGCTTTAGCTTAGCTTTAGCTTAGCTTTAGCTGTAGCTTAGCTTTAGCTTAGCTGCTGCTCAGCTTTAGCTTAGCTTTAGCTTAGCTTTAGCTTAGCTTTAGCTTAGCTTTAGCTCAGCTTTAGCTTAGCTTTAGCTCAGCTTTAGCTTAGCTTAAGCTTAGCTTTAGCTTAGCTTTAGCCTAGATTTAGCTTAACTTTAGCTTAGCTGTGGCTTAGCTTTAGCTTAGCTTTAGCTTTAGCTTAGCTTTAGCTTAGCGTTATTGTTACTACTAATGCTGCTTTCCTAGGGGTTCCAACTCCTAGGTAGGGTCGCACGGGGATATTTTTCTGGAGCGGTTACATGACATTGGGGGTGCGAAGCCTGGTTTAAGCATGACCGACCGTGCGCCAAAATCAACGGCAAGCCTAAATCCATCAAGCCACAGCATGTGCGAGTTCCTGCGTCGCAGCCCCGGCTTTGAATATGCCGGGCCAACGCCCCGCGCTGGCAGGCGACCATTGCTGTGGGCCGTGCCCCGCGGCAGTATGTGGGAGCGGAGGAAGGGGGGCGTGGGTGGTGGGATGAGCTTGCGGTATACGTGTACAAGTTTAAGATTGAGTCTGTGCTTTTGGATGCCAACAGTCGGGCGGGCTTTGATGCGTCGGGCCGGATTGGGGGCCAGGGGTGGGAGCAGCCGCGAGATTCAGGAGGTGACGAATTCCATGACCGCGTCGACCGCCGCTGTTCCTTCGGCCGAGAACGGATGCGCATGCGGGGGATCGGACGGCGCGAGACGCGCCGACTGGATTTCGTGCTCTGCCAGCTGAGTGATGTGCAGTGCGCGACGAAGCATTTGGTTTATCATAAGTTTGACCTCGGCAGATCAGTCGAACATCGTTGTTTTTTTGTTTGCGGGGGCTTTCCATTTCGCGAACCCTGGGCAAGAAGTGTCGGGGGCCCCGGGTTGAACGACGCAAAACGAAAGATCCTGCGAGGGTCGAATCAATTGCCGAGCTCATTGCTGGCGTGCCATGCATGCGCCATAGCGTAGGCGTAAATGCACAGCACCATCAGTTGCATGCTGCCTGACACGACGCTGCGGCGCAATGTTTCCCAGCAGCAGCAGAGGGGTCTCTGCGACCGTATATTTCTGCACCTAGACTGGCGCCAGAAAGTGCGTGGGGCACCCAGGGCACATCGAGATCAAAATGCGCGCCCTCTCCTAACTTACCTCGGGGTTGTTCGGAGCCACCCCTCGCGTGAATCGTTTCAGGAGTTCGCGGCGGTCTGGGGGG